CCTAAGACCCAGTTCAGATGAACTAATTGCTCTTTTTATTCCACCACTCTATTTATATCAAACTGGTAAAACATTGAAATAAAATGAATTTCCAGAATAAACATCTGTGGTCCATAAGGGCAAATATTTGATTTTCACGTTTCCCCCTAGAACCTATTTTGTTATGGAATGACTGAGAGGACACCAAGGGATGGAAAGGAGGAAAGACTCCACATAAAATCTAGACCTATGAATGTGTACATTTGGGTTTTATTTGTTGAGCAATTTTTCTCTTTAGCTTTACTCAGTTGTAACAGTAGGCACTGAAACTCTTTGTTGACAACAATGCCTGTGAGCAAATGTGGAGGTCTCCCAAGCTGTGCCCAGGCCCTTAGAACAGAGAACACGCCCGCCCGACACCTCTATGTGTGCACAGTTTCTACAAAAGGTTTTCTGGAAAGCATAGTGGCTGCTCAGTGCATCATTCCTATCTTGTATGGTAACAATCATGGGATGTTAAAAACGTGAAATTCAAGATTGCCAATTAGTTTGTTTAATTATTTTTCAAAAGATGCCGGTATCAGGTTACCTAGAGATATTTTATTAGTTTATTCATGTGTCTCTCAAAATTGTTCGTAGCATCCAACCCAAGGACATTCAACAATATCTAGAGACATTTTCGCTGTTACAGTTTTGGAGTAGTGGTGACTGATAGTGGCAACTATTGGGCAAAGTCTGAAAATGTCATGAAATCACACACTATAATCTGAATATGTCAATAGTGCTAAGGTTGAGAAATACTTACATAGAAATATCACACAGTTTTTCATTTCTACATTTTTAAATTATTTTTATTAATTACAGTTTATTCACTTTGTATCCCTCCTGTAGCTCTCTCCCTTTTCCCCTCCCCATCCTCCCTCCTTCTTCATCACCTGTGTCCCTCCCCCAATCCACTTAGAAGGGAGGTCCTTCTCCCCTTCCCTCTGATCCTAGTCTATCAGGTCTCATCAAGAGTGGCTGCATTGTCTTCTTCTGTGGCCTGTTAAGGCTGCTCCCCAATCAGGGAAAAGTAATCAAAGAACAGGCCAATCAGTTCCCTTCAGAGACAGTCCCTGTTACAATTACTATGGAACCCACTTGGACACTGAACTGCCATGGGCTTCATCTGTGCAGGGGTTCTAGGTTATCTCTATGAATGGTCCTTGGCTGGAGTATCAGTCTCAGAAAGACCTCTGTGCAGAGACTTTCTGGTTCTGTTGCTCTCCTTTTGGAGCTCCTGTCCTCTCCACGTCTTACTATCTTCCACTTCTTTCATAAGATCCCCTGTACTCTGCCTAAAGTTTGGCTATGAGTCTCAGCATCTGCCTCAATACCCTGCAGGGTAGAGCCTTTCAGAGGCTCTCTGTGGTAGGCTTTTGTTCTGTTCCCCATTTCTATATTTTTACACACAAGTAAAACACAACTTATAAAAATATAAATTAAAATACTGCTTAATTAAAATATTTGCTTAAAACAAGATCATTTCAGTATTCTATCATTAGGAAAATCAGCATTTTTATTTTATTTTATTTTATTTTTTGAAATGGAGTCTCGTGTAGCACAGTCTGGCCTTGAACTCACTATGTACCTGAGGATGACCTTGAATTCTTGATCCTTTTGCTTCTAACTCCTTATTACTACAATGACAGTCCTGTACCACCACAACCATTTTTTAATCCTTCTTTTCATCATCATCATCATCATCATCATCATTATTATTATTATTATTATTATTATTATTATTATTATTTATTCACCTTGTATTCTGGCTGTAGCCCCCTCCTTCATCTTCTCCTCATCCCACCCTTCCTCCCACTCCCCTCCCATGTCTCTCCCCTAGTCCAATGATAGGGAAGGTCTTCCTCTTCTACTATCTGACCCTAGCCTATCAGGTCTCAACAAGACTGTCTGGATCCTCTTTCTCTGTGGCCTACTAAGACCACCTCACCAGAGGGAGGTTATCAAAGAGTAGGCAACGAAGTTCATGCCAGTGACTGCCCCTGCTCCCCTTACTATGGAAACCCACAAGGAGACTAAGCTGCCCATGGCCTACATTTCAGCAGAGTGTCTAGGTCCTGTCCATAATTAGTCTTGGTTGATTGATCAGTGTGAAGTCCCCTCTGGGCCCAGATTTTTTGCCTCTCTGCACAAAAGTGAAGTCCAAGTGGATCAAAGACCTCAACATAAAACCAGACATACTAAATCTCTTAGAAGAAAATGTGGGGTAGAGCCTTGATTTCATTGGCACAGGAGACAACTTCCTGAACAGAACACTAACAGCACAGTCTCTAAGATCAACAATCAATAAATGGGACTGACTGAAACTGAAGAGCTTCTTTCAACAGAACAAAATAACAGCCTACAGACTAGGAAAAGATCTTCACCAACCCTACATCTGACAGAAGCCTAACATCCAGAATACATAAAGAACTCAAGAAGTTAAACACCATCAAACCTAGTAATCCAATTAAAAAATGAAGTACAGAGCTAAATAGAGGACTATCAAATGGCAGAGAAACACTTAAAGAAATGTAAAATGTTCTTTGTCATCCAGGAAATGCAAATCAAAATGACTCTGAGATTCTACCTTATATCTATCAGAATGGCTAAGATCAAAAATTTAAATGATAACACATGCTGGAGAGGATGTGGAGAAAGGGGAACCCTTCTCCACTGCTGATGGGAATGTAAACTTGTACACCACTTTGTAAATCATTCTGGCACTTTCTCACCATACCCATTATTTTTTTATTTTCTTATCTAATAGTATTTATTTATTTTTTATTATTAATTTTTATTTTTTATATTAATCACAGGCTATTTACTTTGTATCCCAGCCATAGCCCCCTCCCTCATTCCCTCCCAATCCCACTCTCCTTCCCTCATACCCTCCCTGATCTTTCTAAGTCCACTGCTTGGGGAGGTCTTCCTCCTCTTCCATCTGATCCTAGCTTACCAGGTATCTTCTGAACTGGTTGCCATGTCCTTTTCTGTGGCCTAACAAGACTGTTCCTCCCTCGGGGGGGGGGAGGTAAAGGAGCCAGTCGTTGAGTTCATGTCAGAAATAGTTCCTGTTCCCCTTACTAGGGATACCCACTTGGTTACTGAGCTACCATAGGCTACATCCAAACAGGGGTGCTAGGTTATATCCATACATGGACCTTGGTTGGAGAAACAGTCTCATAGAGGACCCCCATGCCCTGATATACTTTGTCCTTGTGGAGCTCCTATTCTCTCCTGGTCATATTACCTCCCCCTTTTATCATGTCCTTAGCCATTAAAGAGATGCAAATCAAAACAACCCTGAGATTTCATCTTACAACCATCAGAATGGCAAAGGTTAAAAACTCAAGTAACAACACATACTGGAGAGGTTGTGGAGAATTGGGCACCTTCCTCCATTGCTGGTGGGAATGTAAACTGGTACAACCACTTTGGAAATCAACCTGGCTCTTTCTCAAACAATTAGGAATACTGCTTCCTCAAGATCCAGCTATACCACTCCTAGGCATATATCCAAATGAAGCTCAAGTACACATCAAGAACATTTGCTCAACCATGTTTGTAGCAGTTTTCTTTGTAATATCCAGAAACTGGAAACAACCCAGATGTCCATTAACGGAGGAATGGATACAGAAATTGTACTTTTATACAATGAAATACTACTCAGCAATTAAAAAGAAGGAAATCATGAAATTTGTAGGCAAATGGTGGGTTCTAGAAAAGATCATCCTGAGAGAGGTATCTCAGGAACAGAAAGACACACATGGTATATACTCACTTAGATAGACCAAATGCTAGGATAAACATACTAAAATATGTGCACATAAAGAAGATAAAGAAGAAAGAGGACTCGGAGTAAGATGATCAATCCTTACCTAGAAAGCCAAATGGGTTGGACATGGGAAGTAGGAGGAAACAAGTAATAGGACGGAAGTCTACCACAGAGGGCCGCTGAAAGAAAGACTCTACCTAGCAGTATATCAAAGCAGATGTGGAGACTCATAACCAAACCTTGGGCAGAGTGCAGGGAACCATACACATTTTTAAGAGTTATTGGGAATTGAATCAATTGCTTCATGGATACTAGGCAGATGTTCTACCAATTGAGCTGTATCCCAAATAAGTTATTTTTAATTAATCTAGGTAGAAGATTAGAAGAGCCTGTAAAATGTCAGGAAATCATGAATTTAGAGACATATATACTTAATAAATAAGCAATTAATGTTTGACCTCTATGCCATCTGAAGTAGAATTTATTCTGCAGGTTACCCTTCCAGAACTATTTGCAGATGAAGCACTTTAAAACCACTACTGTCTAGTTCTGACAGCAAACTATTCAGACTATTCTGCTATTTCTGTTAGAAATACTGTACTATATATCCACCCTTTTGACCACCAACATATACCTCAGAAGAAAAGGTATATGTTTTATTTGCAAAAATGTTCATCAAAAGAAGCCGCTTCTGCTATTAGCCATGTCTTTCAATGCCTGCTACTCTCAGGTCCAGTTTCTCAACCTGGATTCATATTATGGCTTCATACTGAAGCACTCTCTGATTTCCATGTAAAGATGATTGGCTCTTCCCACTATACTCACAGTGTGATGCTATCTTAAGAGGAGAGGGTAAGAAAAGGCGGGGCAGTTGATTTTTCTCTGCATTTGTAATTCCTGGTCTGACACTATCTCCAACTGATATGGTTACATTTATTCTGGTTTTGTTTGTTTGTTCATTTTCCCCAGTAGAGTACAATAGTATTTACTTTAGATATCTGGAATATACTTGAAAAAAATTCTTTAAGGGATAAGTTAACTCTTATCCTTTAAAGAAAAGAAAAATTTCATTCTGGGAATAAACTAAGAAATTATCAACCACAGGACTGTTGAACACAGCACAAAAATAAATCCATTCTATATGGAATTAACAAGTCATTACTGAGGCCCTCATACATTGGTTAAATACTTTCTAAATATTTACCAAGATCTTTAACAAGTGAGAGTGCTTCCCATGATATGAAGGCTCCACCACCATCATCCAGGGCACCTTGCCCAACATCCCAGCTATCCAGATGTCCACTGATCAGCACAACCTAGAATAAATAATAAAAAGAAGAAAACATGGTATCAAAAAAGAAACATTCAGCTATTTCAAACGTGAAGATTAAAAGTCTTATACTTGTGTCTTAGAAGACACATTGTTTCTAGTGGAAAACATGGTACAGCATCATTGGTATAATTCCATGTTCATTCTCTGAGTGATGACAGTCCTCCACTTGTGCCTATTAATAATATAATCTTGACTACTAAGGAAGTTGGTATATTGCTGACTGTGTTTTAATCATTTTATAGTTTGGACTTCCAAGATGGCGGGGGCTAGTGTGCAGCTTAGCTGAAGGGGAGAGGACCCGCAGTGCAGAAATTGGTGAGTGAAGGGGCTGATCAACCCAGAACAGAGTTATCTAGACTTCCAAGAAGAAAGAGACTAACCATGATCTGAGTCCATCTAGAATCAGATCAAGGCAGACTCCTCCGGGAGGGGACACCATAAGAGGTGATCCCTGGGCACTTCTGGCACCCAAAACCCTACTCTCTCTTTGGAGGAGGCAGGAGGAGTCCAGCAGAATCTGCCACGGACCACACTGTCTGTACCCCAACCCCAGCTAGAGCTACAGCTCCCACCAAAAAAAAACAAAACAAAAACAAAAACAAAAACAAAAAACAAAAAACCCAAGATCAGGCTGAGAAAACCCAATCCTTTCAGGCACTCCCCTAATGCCGCCGCCTTAACCCTGCCATGGTGGAGCTGAAGGATAGAGAGACCCACAGCGGCTTCCCAGCGACCAGACCCCAGTGCTGCCAGCTGCTCCTAGCAAACAAACCTCAGCTCGGAATCTGGGGGTGTTGTCATTCAACACGTCCTGAGACTCTCCCGGATCCAACACAATAAGATCTAATACCAAGTCCTATCACAGGCGCCCCCCCCCCGACCTCTGGCAGAGAAACCATGGCTCAGGATCAGACTGAAAAGTCACAACCCCTTCTGGCACTCCCCTGAGAGCACCGCCATAAGCTTGCCCTAGAGGAGGGGAAGGTCAGAGGGGAAGGAAAGAGAGGCAGCCTGCCACAGGACACAGCACACCCTCTCCAGCTCACCCAGTGGAACCTGGCAGAGAAACCCAAGCTCTGAATCTGAGGACACTCAACCATACCTGGTACTCTCTTGGAATCAGCAAACATAGGTTCTACTGCCAGGCTGCTTCTGGCAGAGAGATCTGGGATTGAGAACACTCAACCTAACTCTTTCCCACGCTACCCCAGGACCAGTCAACATAACCCCTCCTGGCAGAGGGAAAGAACAGAGAGGCAGCACACAGCAAAGGTGGACACTGAGTCCTGTGGCCACAATGCCACAGAGCTGACTGTTAGCCTACCTGCGCATTTTCCTCAGCAGGACCAAATCAGAGAGTAGAGAGCAAGGGGAACCCCTGTGCATTCCAACTGGTCCTGCAAGAGAGTGAGTGAACCTTCTAGGGAGAGATTGCCCCAGACCCAGGGACTCTCCACAGAAACTACCAGACAAGATCTCTGTCACCCACACCCCTAGTGTGGGCATCATAGGGATTCTTGAGATAGCGACCCCAACGTTGAAGCCTCTGCCTTGTGGGTCCACCAGTGTAATCCAAGTAAACAATCCCTGGATCTCAGACAGAACTGCATAATAGTGGCCTGCAGGCCACTGCAATAGTCAGAGAATCCATGCATGCACACTGTGCCCTCTAAAAGCATATGCGAATAGCGCTGGTGTCACATTCCTTACTTAGGCAAAACTGAAAACACAACGCACACTCCCAAACCAGGGAACCTCTCTCATCTTCCTGAAAAAACAGTCCAGAAAACAGAAATAGACGATCATAGCCCGAACTACAAACTCGAGAAACAAACAGTGAGGGTTATAAATAACCAGATGGCTAGAGGCAGATGTAAGAACACACCCAACAAAAATCAGGACATAATGACCTCACCAGCAACCCCACAAAACAATGGACACTTCAATTCACTAGATATACAAGAAAACGACCTCAAAACTATGTTTCTCCAGCTATTAGAGACTCATAAAGATGAAATGAACAAAGCCCTCAGAGAAATAGCCAAAGAAATTGAGACGAACAAAGAGGAAACAAATAGAACTCTCAGAGAAATGACCAAGAAAATTGAGGCAAACAAAGAAGAAATGCACAAAGCTCTCAAAGAAATGTCCACACAAATGAAGGCAAATAAAGAAGAAATAAACAAAGCTCTCATAGAAATACAGGCAATTATACCCAAAGAAGTAGAGGCACAATTAGTGATACATAGAGAGGAAACGGACAAAAAAATAGAAGCTGTCATTGAAAAGCAGGACTCCACACTCAAACAGATGAAGGAAATGGTGCAAGACATGAAAACAGAATTAGAATCAATAAAGAAAACACAAATAGAGAAAAATCTGGAGCTGGAGAACATAGAGAAAAGATCAGGAACTACAAAGGTAAGCATCACCAACAGAATACAAGAGATGGAAGAAAGAATCTCAGGAGCCGAAGATACACTTGAGGAAATTGACATGTCTCTCAAAGAAAAAATAAAATCAGAAAAGTTCCAAACACAAAACATCCAAGAAATCAAGGACACCATGAAAAGACAAAATCTAAGAATAATAGGAGTGGAAGAAAAAGAAGACATCACGCTCAAAGGTCCGGAAAATATTTTCAAGAAAATTATAGAAGAAAATTTTCCCAACTTAAAGAAGGAGATGGCCTTTAGTTTTGTGCAGGGTGATAGATATGGATCTATTTTCATTTTTCTGCATGTAGACATCCAGTTGGTCCAGCACCATTTGTTGAAGATGCTGTCTTTTTTCCATTGAATGGATTTGGCTTCTTTGTCAAATATTGAGAATTCATAGGTGTGTGGGTTTATTTCTGGGTCTTCTATGCGATTCCATTGATCCTCCTTTCTGTTTCTATGCCAATACCATGCAGTTTTTATTACTGTTGCCCTGTAGTACAGCTTGAGATCAGGAATGGAGATACCTCCAGATGATCTGTTGTTGTACAGGATCGTTTTGGAGATTCTGGGTTTTTTGTTTCTCCATATGAAGCTGAGAATCTTTTTTTCAAGGTCTGTAAAGAATTGAGTTGGTATTTTGATGGGAATTGCATTGAATCTGTAGATTGCTTTTGGCAGGATGGCCATTTTCACAATGTTAATCCTACCAATCCATGAGCACGGGAGATCTTTCCATCTTCTGAGATCTTCTTCAATTTCTTTCTTCAAAGACTTGAAGTTTTTCTCAAATAGGTCTTTCACTTGCTTGGTTAGAGTCACACCAAGGTACTTTATGTTGTTAGTGGCTATTGTGAAGGGTGTTGTTTCCCTAATTTCTTTCTCAGCCTTTTTGTCTTTGGTATACAAGAGGGCCTCTGATTTTTTTGAGTTGATTTTGTATCCTGCCACTTTGCTGAAGGTGTTTATCAGCTGAAGAAGTTCTCTGGTTGAATCTTTGGGGTCGCTCATGTATACTATCATATCATCTGCAAATAGTGACACTTTGACCTCTTCCTTTCCGATTTGTATCCCCTTGATCTCCTTTAGTTGTCTTATTGCTCTCGGAGGAATGGATACAGAAACTGTGGTATTTTTACACAATGGAATACTACTCAGCAATCAAAAAGGAAGAAATCATGAAATTTGCAGGCAAGTGGTGGGATCTAGAAAAGATCATTCTGAGTGAAGTATCCCAGAAGGAGAAAGACAAACTTGGTATATACTCGCTTATATAGACCTACAAGACATGATAAACATAATGAAATCTACACACCTAAAGAAGATAATCAAGAAAATGGACACAGGCGAAGGTGATTAATCCTCATTTAGAAAGACAAATGGGATGTGCATTGAACTTATGACAGGAGTCTATCACAAAAGGCATCTGAAAGACTCTACCTAGCAGTGTTTCAAAGCAGACACTAAGACTCATAACCAAACCCTCGGCAGAGTGCAGGGAATCATATGAAAGAAGGGAAGTTAGTATGATATGGAAAGGATAGGAGCTCCACAAGGACCAAATATATCTGGGCACAGGGTCTTTTCTGAGACTGACACTCAACCAAGGACCATCTATGGATATAACCTAGAACTTCTGCTCGGATGTGGCCTGTGGTAGCTCAGTAACCAAGTAGTTTTCCAAAGTAAGGGGAACACGGACTATTTCTAATAGGATCTCAAGGGCAGGCTGTTTGACCCCCACCCCAGAGGAGGAGCAGTCTGTTAGGCCACAGAGGAGGACTTCGCAGCCAGCCCTGAAGATACCTGATAAAACAGGGTCAGATGAAAGGGGAGGAGGTCCTCCCCTATCAGGGGACTTGGAAAGGGGCAGGGAGGAGACCAGGGAGGGAGTGTGGGGTTGGGGAGGGAATGAGGGAGCGGGATACAGCTGGGACACAGAGTTAACAAAATGTAACTAAAAAGAAAAATAAAATAAAAATTAAAAAAAAAAAAAAAAAAAAAAAAAGAAGGAGATGGCCATAAACATACAAGAGGCCTAAAGAACACCAAGTAGACTAGACCAGAAAAGAAATTCTTCACGTCACATCATAGTCAAAACACTAAACCTACAGAACAAAGAAAAAATTCTAAAAGCAGCAAGGGAAAAAGGCCAAGTAACATATGAAGGCAGACCTATCAGAATCACACCAGATTTCTCAACAGAAACTATGAAAGCCAGAAGGGCCTGGACAGAAATCATACAGTCCTTAAGGGACCACAGATTCCAACCCAGACTACTATACCCAGCAAAACTTTCAATCAACATAGACGGAGAATTCAAAATATTCCATGACAAAACCAAATTTAAACAATATCTACATAGTAACCCAGCTCTACAGAAGTTACTAGAATGGAAACTCCAAACCAAAGAAAACAACTACAACTAAGGAAATAGAGGAAATAGATAACTACACAACAAAAAAACCAAAAGAATACAAGCAATGAAACTCAGTGACACCAGCAACCACACATCAAAAGTAAGTAACAATTGTTGGTCACTAGT